AAAAAAAAAAAAAAAAAAAAAAGAGCAAAAGGGGTAGAAGTGGCACTACAGGAAAAAAAGAAAGCGTAAAAAAAAAGGTAAAGTGACACTTAGTAACAAAACGCGAGCTCGGAAAAAAAAAAAAAAAAAACAAGGCTTAGCTCAACCTGTGCTCGGCGAAGTCTCCGCCTCTCCAATTTGAAGGCTTGTTGCACAGAGTTCCATGTAATAGCTGTAACTCGCCCGGTTGGCACACAAACGTGAGGCGAAGAAATTTCACTGCAAACGCAACAAAGTGGTAACAAAACAGTGTAGAAGGTCAGTTAAATGTTCGTAGTGGGCATTGAAGATGCAAGTGGGTGAAACTCACAGGAGGCTGGGGTTGCCCTTTGAGAAAAATTAATTAGTAGAGTTCTTTCTTAATAAAAAAAAAAAAACAAAATGAACACACCTTAATTTGTGGGCACCGGGGGGTAATGACAGGAGTGTTGCACATTTCGAAAAATAAAATTGGGAACAAATGATTTGGGAATTTCATAAATGGGACAATGGTGAGTTGTTCACGTGACGCATTGATGACGCATCAAATTGGTAATTTACTAAGTGGCAACCCGCAACTTGATTAAAGTGCCGAAGCGGACATCGGGTCACTTGTTAAAAAAAATAAGCGAACTTGCCAGCGTGTATAAATTGCGCGGTCACTTCGTTAAAAGCGGCACAATAGTCATGTGTGGAGGTAACTTGTAGTGTCGAGAAGTTCTAACACGGACATTCTTTTCCTTTATTCACATTAATTTTTTTTTTACTCACTTTAATTTTTTTTATTCACTTCACTTTTTTTTATTCACGTTAATTTTTTTTTTAATCACTTTACTTTTTTTATTTGTCATGAATTAATTTCCATTATAATTTATTTAGCAATTGTTCCCTAGCATGCGCGATGTAGAAGCAGTTGCATTTTGTACGGTGTGTGTTCCCTAGGGGGGCGTGTAATTGCGGGTTCTTCAAAAAAGGGGTTAAAAAAGAAATCAAGGCATGCGTGGAAAAAGTGTCACCACGTTGAAAAAAAAAAAAAAAAAAACAAGAAAAAGTTACATAACAGAGTTAATTTAAATTAACATAAGACACAGTTACATGAGCCAATGTGTTCTTGTTTATTTTTTTATTTTTTGCTTTTTTTATGTACCCTAATTTATAAAAAAATTAAGCAGCTAGCCACAGCGCAAATGTGTAACCTGGTTCAAACTGCGTCCCTTCAGAAAAAAAAAAAAAAAAAAAAAAAAAAAAAAACTGTTCAGGTGAAACGAAGGAAAAATAACCTTCCCCCCACAAAAAAAAAAAAACAAACAAACAAACAAACAAAAAATAGTAAGGGACTCCACGCCTTCACAGTAACGTGTCATTTGTGGAAATTGCATTACAACAAAGTGGAAAGTACGCTCGGGAATCGTTTTACAATGGGGTCACTTAACCGTTGGGTTTGCCATCGTTACTGACAGGTTGTTACTTGAACAGTCCTGTTTGCCAGGTTAGCGCGGGAAACATCCCAGTCCGCATCCTAATGGCAGACGCATCACAGTCCGACTGTGTGAGTTATACGCATGCGTAAATATTGGGGGGATAACAGCACTGACCATTTTTATGTGCCATATTTAGCGAAACTTTGCTTATTCCGAATTGATGGTTTTTCGCACGCACAGCAACTTAAAGGCCGATAAAATAACTCGCGCGAAGTGTGGATCAACACACTGATTATGCAAAGCAAGTGGGGGGCTCTCTTCCCCTGACGCAACAAGGCAGTTGTCACAATTGAGGAACTAAGACGTCTTTTTTTCTTCCCCCCTATTCGTATGACCATTTACATTTGGTATTTCCTCATGCACAGCTAAAAATTGCGGGCAATCATGGAAAATATGACACTTTAAAAAAAAACAAATCGCGCATGGGTTAACAGCGCTGGAAGAGGGGGACGGCCCCAGACAGTGTTTGATTTATCCTTCTGCGTGTTTCACTTTGTCCTCTTTTGTTTTTTTTTTGTTTTTTTTTTTTTGCCCATTTTTTTTTTTTAAATCTGCTTCGCTTCGTCATTAGTGGGGGGACGCTGCCTCACTATTTGGGAAAGCGTCTGGCTTGGGCCTTTTTGCCGTGCGGTGAGGGTGTAAAACAAAAAAAAAAACAAATAGTTGTACGTTGTTATGATGCTTAAAATGTGGAAGGAGAAGGAACTCCAAAGGTTCCATTGTTCAATGCGTGGAAAATGAATAAGGGAAAATAAAAAGGAGTAGCCGTCCTATCTTTGCTGCTCTGTGTGTTTCCATCTGCGGTGACCTCCCCTCCTCTGCCTGTGTTTGTCCTCAACTTGTGAAGGCGCGTTACATTGTTGCAGAGGAAAAATCTCAAGAGGGGGGGAAGTCGTAAAAAAAAAAAAAAAAAAAGGGCCCATAAACTGGCGCACAAAATAGCGAAAAAGGAGGCGAGCAAAGCAGCGCGAAGCTAAGAGATTACATGCATCCTCCCATTAATACTAGCCTTTCCATGCAATCGACGTACACCCTGTGGACGAAGCCACCTCCACCCTTTTCCAAAGACTGTCCCCGAATAATACAAAATTATAAGCCTTGAAAATAACTGAGGGGACACACACACACACACAAAAAAAAAAAAAAAACAAACCAAAAAAAACTTTCATCAAGCACTTCCCTTTTTATGAACAAGTCAGGCAAAAAAAAGAAAAAAAAAAAAAAAAAAAAAAAAGCTGTTAACATTGTGGAAAAACATTTAAACTTGGATGTGAAGGCATAAAAAGTTGCAACTTCATTTTTTTTTTTTTTATATATAATTAAGCCTTTTCCTTTTTGCTTTACTGATCGTTTCTTTCTTTCTTTTTTTTTTTTTTTCTTCTGTTTTATTTCAATGCGCCGTGTGTTGTTCACCCTCGCGAAACGCACAAACACACAACGCAGCACGCACATCCCTCTTAATAGTATAGCGTAGGAGGCGAAAAAGGAACCTGATGTAAAAATGGGAAACGACACTGCTGCGGAAGGAACAGTTGTGGAGGACGCAGAGGAAGCTGCGCTTTCCAACAGGAGCAAAGACCACAATGAAAATTGCGCGGAGCAGGTGGGAGACTCCACAAACAGGTAACGAAAAAAAAAAAAAAAAAAACACTTAACATGAGATAAGCACACCTATTGTGTATACCCATTTTCGCACACAAAAATGGAGGAGAGTTTGAATTACCGTTCGCAAAGGGGTGACCCATTTAAAGTGGCATGGCGGTCTCTAACTTCGTGTGCAAGTGGCCAACAACGGAGTGAACCTTCAAACTCTAACCTTTTCCATGTGGACACTTCGGCCGAGACAACAATTTTACCATGGGGTATTTGCAATTGTGTTGTGCAGTGGTGATTCCCCTCCTATTTTTGCGTCCTTACTGATCTCAACAAACGCACAAGCGGCTAGGCTAGTGCGATAAAAACTTCTCCAAGGGGATACGACCATATAGTTTGACGCGTGTAGCAAAACGTTACACAGTTGGTGTGGGTGACAACAAGGGACAGCACCTGCCGGCTGTCCACGCGGGGGGACATACGTGTGCATGTGCGCATTGACCGACTCGAATGTGTGCTCATCCACCATCTCTCCATGTAATTCCCATTTCGCAGAACTGACCCAACCGAAATGAACAAAACGAAGAAGTCGGTGAATGGGTTTGCCGCTAACATCGCCATGGAGGCCCTCGCGAAGGCGTCCACGTAAAAAAAAAAAAAAAAAAAAAAAGAGAAAAATGCGCATGTAGCTAAGTGTAGCTGCTCACCATGGTCTAAAGCATCGCTTTGCTGAAACAGCTGCTGTTGCCTTTTTTTTTTTTTTTTTTACATCTCCTGCTTGGCCAACCAAACATAACCCCCTGCCACCCGTTCCCTCCTTCCCCTTTCTTCCACCCCATCGATGTAGATTTATTTCAAAAAATGAGCGCGTACAGAAGGAGTACAGCGGCGTAGGGCTGAACAACGAAGAAGATAATGAAAAGTCTCAGGAGGGCCTGGACGTCAACGGACACACCTCTCGCCCGAGTGGAGCGCAAATCGGGCCAAACAGGAATTTGTAAGGATGGAAAGGGAAAGGAAAAAGTGACAATGCTAAAATGTCACAAAGTGTGTATCAACGTAATCGTACACGGAAGTAAAGTCTACACCCCGCACGCACATATATATACTCCCTTTTTTTTTTTTTTTTTGCCTCCCTGTCTGCAGCTTACACGGGGCCCACTCCATCATGCCAGGAACGGACAAGGAACTTCAGGAAAAGCTGAAGAGCCGACGGTTTGACGCGTAAAAGGGGAAAGTCAAACCACTGGTCAGTTTAGCACGTTGCTTTTTTTTGTTCATATTTTTTTTTTATCATTTTTTTGTTCATATTTTTTTTGATTTATTTTCCATTTCCCCCCCGGTTGGTTCGACACCTTTTTCATTGATCCCTTTTTTTTTGCATCCAGTTTAAATCTGTTTTAGTAATGGCCGGCCGTGCGTCGGTGGATCCTCCCTTTGTCCCCATTGATACTCCCTTGCAAGTGTCCGCATGTGTATATGTGTTATCCCCTGTGCGTAATTCTTTTTTTTCGTTTTTTTTGCGTAGAGAGGGCACGTCGGCTGCCCAAATGATGCTCAGCTGCACAACACTACAAAGGAACGAACTCTCCTCACTTTGCAAAGCACCCCAAAGAGGGGGAGGGGGTATTTTTTTTTTTCTTCACTCCTAAGTTTTTGCACATATATAAAAAGCATGTTTGCTTTAATCACCATGGTGGGCAAACTGGCCCCCGCCCCATTGCACTTACAACACAACGTGATTGTGTAGAATAATGCGCCGTAAGGGTGACGTTGCTCCAGGGGAGATTATTTCGCAGCAACTGCGGTCATATTATCTGTCCACATTCGTTTCCCCCTTTTCTTTTCCGAGTGGGTCATTCCAAATGTGCATTCACAAAATGAGTTGGTCTTCCTGTTCATATACCTACTCATGTGTGCAACATATTATTTAAACGCTAAGATGGAAGACAAGGCGGGACGGGAAAATGGGCGTAGAGAAAGGGACATGAATTTTTCTACCACTCTCTCCCTTTAATAATATTTTTTTTTTAGCTTTTAAAAGGGTCAACTGAAAGTAACTGCTACGTTGATTATACAAATTCGCGTAGCAAAACACTATGATTTTGTTTTCCTCATTTTTCTTACCCTGTCATTTTCATCCATGCCATTTTCTGCATTCTCTTTTTTTTTTTTTTTTTTTTTTTTTTGCCGACGCAATATGCATACAACTGAAAAAATCCCACCGCGGGCGCCAAACCGAAGCTGCCTGACGACGGAGCATTTAAAAAAAAAAAAAAGAAATTTCGAACCAATTTTTTTTGTAATTCCTACACAACTTCTTATGAAAGAACAAAACACAAAGTCAATGAAGGGATGGCCGCATTGATGTTTCTTCGTTAGCGGCGGGGGAAAGTTTTTTTTTTTTTTTCTTTTTTATTTCCCCTTCTTCAAGTGTAAAATGCGTAAACATTTGCATATTTGACATTGTTTGAAGTATGACGGATAGCTCCTGCGCAAGCGATTATTTCGGTAGGCATTTAGCTTCACACGTTTATTTATTTTCCCTGTTCGTGTTGCCTTTTTTTTTGCTTCTCCACTGCTTGAGCTGAAGCGTTGGCTTTACCCAGACGGACGCATCAACCAGTCGGCAAGCCGCTCAACTGGGAAGCCGCTGGACCGGCAAAGCTGCGACACCAGGCAACCTCTACACCGTTGCGCTTCTTTTTCTTCCCCCTTTTCAGTTTCGAACTTGCCAAACGATGTCACGGAGGAGGAGCTAAAGGATTTTTTTAAACCAACATGTGAGGTTACCCACTGCAGGTGAGGAAGATTGTAAAAGAATACCTCATCAACACCAATGTTGAATATGGGAAGAGTTGTTCACCCGAAGGGTAGTCTATTTGAGCCACCCCAAAAAGGGCTACTAAATAAAATTTTGCACACAATTCACGTCACTGCTTTACCTTTCTCTTTTTTGCTCTCCCCCTTATCACATGCGCAGACTCAAGAAGACAAAGCTGGGCATTCAGAGCTGCCACGGGTACATACGGTTCGAGGGAAATCTGAACGATGTAGTGGCGTACGCGAGAAGGGAAAAGCTCAGGGATAGGCAGTTGCGCATTGAACTAGTTGAAAATGGAAACGGCGATGTGGAGGAAGATTCAGTGGAGGACGGCACCGAAGGAGGGACGTTTCCCCCGTGGCAGCAGAGCCAGCGAGATGGTAAGAACCCTGATAGGGGGTCAATCAAACAGCAGAGGGACGATCAAGGGATGAGTAGAAATAAATGGAACTCCAAGAAAGGAAATGAAAAGGTTGAAATTATTAACAAAAAAGGAATGATCACAAAACAAGGACATGCAATTCTTAATAACATGCACATGTATGATGTGGTTCTATTGATTCACAAAATGCAACAGCTAGTTAGACTCTCTCCACAAGCAGCAATTAAATTTCTTGGTAGCAATAAGACGATTTGTTATTCTCTGATCCATGCTCTCTTCCTTCTGGGTATTCTAAACACGGAGATGAGTCCTCTTAACGAGGAGGACATCACCCGAATGAAGTTTCATGCACTTAAGAATAAGTTTCAGTTCTTTTGTGTGGACAGCGAGGAGGAGGGAGAGATGGACTCTGCCGGGGGGAAGCTCGAAGAAGGGGGTGCTTCAGAATGGCGAGATGCCGAATGGGATACGTTTGAACGGCGCGACGGTGAATGGCGTGGCTCCGATGTAGGGGAAATGAGCGACGCGGAGAGCCCGCCATGGAGCGGCCAAGGTTATAACTACGAGCAGGGTGGTAAGAGGCCGCTGTACGAGAGGGGAGGAAGGGTGGTCAACACAACGAACATGGGAAGTACCCCTGCCTCATCGTTGAAGCATGTACGGGGCAAGAACCAGCTGATGGGTAACAGAAAAAATGCATCTAGGGGCGTGTATGGCACAAGTCAGGGTTCCTCTTATGGGGCCAATCCTAACAGCTATGCTTCGTTTAACCATATGGATGTACCTTCAGACGAAGGTCAGAGCGGGTACCACCCAGTAGAAGACAGGGCGTCTGCGTGTGGAGACACCGAGAGGGAGACAGTGAAGGGGAAAGGACAAATGGGTCGGTCGAATTTGTATGGAATGGTTAGAGGTGCTCATCACTCGAGGCAGCAATACCCTTTGCTCAGTCTCTCCATGAACAACAGACGGGGAGGAGACACCGGCGGGTACCCTGTCCCAGGAAGCTACTCCAGCAAACACACTGTGAAGGGAGGAAAAGTGAAGAACAAAAATAAGCAAAAGAATAAACAAAAGAATAAGCCAAAGAATAAGCCCATGAACTTTAATAGCATGATGCCCCCTGGCAACCAAGCGGGGAGTGGAAATGTGTATAGCGATTGGGGGGGAGGAAGCAGACCCCTCGACTATGACAGTAGCAGCATGCAGGGAAATCCTAACGCGTATGATTATGGAGAGGAGTTCCCCAGTGGTAGGCAAACCACAGGGTTGTATGGAATGCGTGGTCATGCTACTACAAAGACGGAACAGGAGGTGCATTATTCAAACTATTACGCGAGTGATGGTGGTGGAGGTCAGCATGGGGAAGGGGGGGCAGGCTCAGACAACAGAAGGAAAGACAATATACCTAATTGGGAAGGGAATGATGGGATGAATCAAAGTGACCGTAGTGATGTGGGTGGAGTAGATGTGAGGAAAAATGAAGGAGTTCATCGTCGGGGGGAAGAAGTCACTGGAGGACAATATACAACCTCGTCACTCTCCTGGAGGGGTGGATCAAGAAAGGGTCCTTACCATGTGGACAGCGAGACGGCAAGGAGAGGAGATCCGCATAATGTCAGTGACCACCAAGGAGAAGAAAACACAACGAGAGAAAAACACCTAGAGTTGGGGAAGAGGTTAATTCAAAAAATTAATACATGCAATAACCAAAGGAGAGGAATTAAACTAATTGATCGCATGAACAAGGGAGGTGAAATGCTAAATGAAGAAAATGTTATTAAAATGAGGAGTGTCGACATATATAATGAAGTGGACAGGACACAGGAAAATGTGTTAAGCAATAGTTTGAAGGCCCTACTGAAAAAAGTAAATGTCACTTTGAAGGACATTCCCTTTGCTGAAGACGATTTGGTGAATGAAGTCATTAATGAAAAGCCCATCCTCGAGAACATCCTCATTAGTAAATACCCTGATATGCTCAACTGGAACCAGGAGCAGATTTTACGAGTCCTGTCCATTCGGAAGTCGCTCAAAAGGCGTGGGTACAGCATTAACGGGGTCATATGAGGGGGAGTAGGGGGGATGAGCACTCATATATATGCCATACGCTTGTTTGTAAAAAGGGCGTTTTATTTTTTAAAAAAAATGTTTTTTTTTTTTTTTTTTGTGTACATTTTTGCCTTGAATAACTTTCGAGTGTCAAACGTTTTTTTTTTTTTTTTTTAAGTAACGCGCAGCGGGACAGCAAAATGATAAAAAATATATATATATATAAAATTTAAAAAAAAAAAGTACAAATGCAAAATGGAGAAGGCTAACACATGATGGGCGACGAAATCGCGCAGAACAAATTGTGCGGGTCAAATTGGGGAGGGGGACAAACAAGAACAGACGTGGCACATCTTTTTAAAAAGCTTGGGATGTGTCTCCTGCATTTTTCCCTCCACCTGTGTGCATATTGCGGCCCGCTTTCTTCACTCGATTGTTCAGCTTGGTGTGCTTGGTATGCAGCTTGCCAAAGCTCTGCTTTTGCACGTAGACGCGCTTGATGGTGTTTCCAAACTCGTCCACTTGAACATTCCTTAATTTTTTTTTTTTGCTTTTTTTCTTTAACTGTTGTTCCACGTTCTTGGTTGCCTCTTCGAACAGGTGGTAGTTTGCAGTCTGTGAGTTGTCCATAACGAAATTGAAGCGTGGGCCAACTTCCTCCAGGGGAAGAGGATCACTAGTGTGTGGGTGAAGGAAGTGCTCCTTCTTTAGTAGGTATTGGCGGAAGGAGAGCACCTGATTCTCGCTGCTTCCATCACTCAATGCGCTAATGACGATGAGGCGTTGCACAGAGGAGCTGCTCACGGAGTCCACGTTCCTATGCTTGAAGAAGTCAAACAGGACATTTCTTAAATTTTTTGTAACGTCCGTTTGTTCAAAATAGGATCCCTGAATGAGGACAATCGGCTTGGTGTCACACAGGACGTCCTTTGCATGCGGAAAAATCTTCATCGGTATGTACGAGAGGAGAGTAAAGACATAAAAGTCAAACAGCTTGTTGTTATACAGTCTTCCAATAATAAATCTGGAAGGTTTTTTCTTCGTGGAGAAAACTGATAAAAAAAAGGAGCAGCTATTGTGTACACATAAGTCGACCAGCTCATTTAGTTTCGTTTGTATGTCTGCCAAGTGGGGGTGTAGTTTCGGCATGTAGCATGTGAAGGGTTTGTGTAAATTGTACAAATCTTGCATGAAGCTTTTTAATTCCTCCGTCCTCTTGTTGCTGCATATGAATAGGCAACTTTTTGAAGACTCGTGTAACGCTCCCTTTCGTTTTTTTAAAATTAAATTTCCTTTTCTTGTCTTGGCCTTTCCTTCCTCCAACCGCTCAACAATTTCTTCCTTATTCTCCTCGTCCTCCATTTTGGCACGAATTTTTTTTTTTTTTCTCTAAAGAGGGGGTCTACACGTTGGATAAACCTACGAGGATGAGCTGCCTACCCCCTGCTTGGCGTTTTTCCGCGTTACTCTATAGCTGCAGCGGAAGGTAACCACTTAGTGGAGCTGCTGATGGGGGGGGGGGTCCAGCGCGTAGCGAGCAGACGGGAGTAAAACGTCTCATCCGTTCCGATCACTCCGCAGCGACGTTACCCACAAGTACATAATAATGTGAATACACGTAAAGTTTATATTTTTTCCTGCTGCTCTCTCTCCTACTGTTGGGGTTGTAAAAAAAATGCAGCAGGTGAAGGGGGTGGGGGAAGAAATAATATGATGAGACCTCGCAAAAAAGGAACGAGGGTCAACAGGAAAAAAAAAAAATATTAATAAAAAATCCCGTTGAGATGGTAACGAGAAAAAGCCTCCAACTTGCGCGACGCTTTTTAAAAAAAATGGGAGAAAAAAAAAAATTTATTTTGGTGGGAACGTGACGCTACATTGGAAACATATTCCTTTCACTCAAGAAAAGCTCAGCAAAAAAAAAACATCATCAATACAGATTACATTACGCGCATATATTATATACATTCATATATATATATATATAGAAGTAATGCCATATGCATATCGTCCACGTCGGCGTTACCCCCTCTTTTGCGCCTCGTTTCCCCGACAGCGCCTTCGCAGAGTGGCTTACCCTGATGGGCGGAGAATGAATCAAAAAAAAAAAAAAAAAAAAAAAAGAAGCAACAATGCCGCCCACCGTTAACAACGGGGAAGAGATTTTCATATAAAAAAAAGAGGAAAAAAAAAAAAAAAAAAAAAGTTCACTTTGCCATCCCCACGCAGAGGGTATATATATACAACAGATGCTTACATTTATATATAATGTAGCGTATTGTGATGTTATATGAAGGCGCCCCCTTCCCGTATATTGCAGAGCCGCTCTGCATTTATATATATTTTTCAAACCTTTGGAGTGGCTTCACTTTAGCAACTAACCAAACGGGATAAAAGCAAACGCTTTTTTTTTTTTATTTAGATGAAACGTAGGGGTGAAGAAATCGCAGCCTCACCATTTTCATCTGCGCCAAAAGGGGGTGAGTGGGGATGCCGATACGCGCTCTCCTGTAATAATGCGCACGGACACTTTGTAGGGTTTTATTCTCATTCAACTGCAAATTTGTTAATTCACCAACGGTCTGGGTGGTGATGATACAAAGTGACTCATCGTCCCGTTAACACGTTGCTGCTGATACGTAGTAGCTGTAGTGTTGATTTGGTCATTCCCTGTCGCATTTTTTTTTTTTTTTTTTTTTTCCAGCGCGTTGTTTTATTTTGTATGTATGCTTTTATATTATAACAACCCTGGGGACCCTCACACCCATTGCGTACCTGTCTTTGCATACTAGTGCGCAACTTTGCGGCTTGCCTGTCTCTTTTTAATCGGTGGACAAAATGAAGGCACTCCCAATGGAGGTAGACCGGATGGGGGAGAACAAGGAGAAGAAGGAAAAGAAGAAGACAAACGGCACGGGGACTCTGCTGAAGAGGAAGGGCAGCACATCCGCGAAGGAGGACGCCGTGAGGAAGATTCTTAAAAAATTGAAGCGCATGGGTTCGCTGGGGGGGCGAGAGAAAGTGAGCAAGAATGGGGAAGGTCCACGGAAGATGACCACAAGGGAGGCAACCAAATTGAAAAAGGTCATCCTCAGGTCGCTCGACGGGATGGACGAGGAGGAGTACGACGAAGCCATACGGTTAGCACAAAACAAAGCCCTCCTCGCGAAGAAGCGAAAAGAAATAATGATCGAGGTAACCCCCAGTGAAGGCAACAACGCATGGCTGGAAAAATTGGACCTGACTTGTTCAGAAAATTTTTACTTAAAAAAAATGAAATTATTTGGACAATGCCAAGAGAGGGAAAATGAATTTTTAAAAATCACACATGAAAACGTAGTAGAGGGTCTGAAGAAGCTCCAAGATTTACACATTTCCTTTAACAGACCATACGACTTTTTGGCCGACATGATTAAGAGTGACGTGCACATGGAAAGAGTTAGACAAAAGATTGTGAAGGATCACGAACGGGTTGAAGAAAAGGAGAAAAATAAAATAAAAAGAATGAACAAAAAATTTAATAAAAAAAGTGGCTCTGCAAAAGTAGCTAGCCAAATGGAAGCTATAGAAAAAAAAAAAAATTTGCAAAAAATCGACCAGCTGAGGAAGGAAGATAAACTTGAGACGCTCAACGTGCAGGAGTTTTTTCTTAAACACTCCAAGTCGGACCAAGAGAAGGACCGCCGGGAGGGAAAGAAAAAAAGAGACCGAAAGGGGCATGCAAAAGGGGATGGAAAGCGGCATGCAAAAGGGGATGGAAAGGGGCATGCAAAAGGGGATGGAAAGGGGCATGCAAAAAAGGATGGGAAAGGCAAGGCACGCTTCAAGACGAAAAAGCGAATTAAGAAAAGCCAAAAAAATAAAGGCAGGAAGAATTGCAAGAGGCGTTAGGCAGCCGCGCACATGTACACCTGCAACTGCGTAGACGCATGGATGTGATCATGCCTTCGCTTTGCACATGTGTAGGGGTCCTAATGTACGTGTCCATCCGCCTCTTCGGTCACTTCTCCCCCCACCTGTTCATACCCACACAACTTTACCTTTTTTTTTGTTTTTTTTTGGAAAATCAATGTTTCCTCTAATTATTTGATATGTGACCCCCTCCCAATTCGTTTTAAAATTTGTGTAACCCATAACTTTGTTTGCGTCTGACAGTATAATTTTTTTTTTTTTTTTTTTTTTCTTCGTTCAAACATTCTTCATTTTTTTAATAATTAATTTTTAAGCATTTCAAAAGCTGGCCATTTGATGGAGCAGACGCTTATCATTTAGCAACTGATGGGATGCCACGGTTGGAGTGGAGGCGTAGTTTCTGCTCTCCCTCCTTTTATACGTCACTGCATGGGGTTAAGCGTGGAATGGGTTGCATAAGTAATGTAAGGACAAGCGTGTATTGGCCTACTGACCTGTTGGCATAAAGCAAGCTTGTCAACTCATCAGTAGGTTTACCTTTTCCTTTCTCCTCTTTTTTTGCTTTTTTTTTTTTTTTTTTCTCCTCCTCCCTCCTGAGGGACATACCAAAATGAGAGGGAAAAAAAAAAAAAAAAAATCATCAGCGGATCCCAAGAAAAAAAATAATAAATAAAAGGCGCGACGATGCGTAACACTTACCAACAGACATTGGCCTTCCCCCAACGCGTCAGCGAAAAAGGGAAGCTTACACAGACGAGAGTGTTATACTACCCCATTTTGAAGCAAATGTAAAGGGCGGGAAAAAAAGATGGTTCGCGCGAAGCAGTCACAAGTTATTTTCCCCTTCACAGTGGCATAATGCATGCATGATGTGTATGGTTGCACATACACGCATATGCAGATACACACACATATAGGCAATTCATGAACTCGTGAAGGTCCAGTGTGTGGCCACGGGAGGGCCGCCTTTTCTCCCCTCCCCCTCTTGCAATCTCTGTTTCGTGCTAGACCTAAAATAGCACACACGCACATGTGTACGGATATGCCACCTTATTTATCGATCACCCCCAATTTGTGAATCGCCTAGAACGAAGCAATTTCCTTGAAGACACCTCAAGATGTTTCGCCCTGCTAGTTCGGCTGTCCAGAATACACCCGTCGCCGGCGTACAGCTGTACACAGGGGGGAAGTAAAAACAAGCATAAAGGGTAGGGTGGAGGCCCAGACGGCATATATATACTCTTGCAAAATGGAGGGGGCCAGTGAAGGCACGCGTGTGCGTATGAGCTACAACGACTTCATCCTGCTGCTGTCCGTGTGCTACTCCATCGGAGATATCTTTATACAGTGGAAGGAATTTTCCACGTGCTACAAACCAATTCACGTATGGCTAGTGGTCTCCTTCATATCTATAGTGCTTTACAGATTGTCCCATTTCCTGGCCCAATATTTAAGCAACGATGGAGATGACTTGATCATATATAGAAGAAACACCCCCCCGTACTACATCAACCTGTTAGTCCTGTGCGTCTTGTTCCCATTCTTCCTCGTATGGAATGTAGTGGGTACAGTGTGGATATATCAGATCATTAAATATACGCCGAAATGTCTACCAAGGAACAACCACCCATGGTTCATTGTGCTGTGGATTGTACTTTGTTATGTATGGATCCTGTTGTATTTATTTTTCATCTTGCTGTCCTTATATTTGGAGTACCAGGCAAGAATATACGAGAGAACGCTCATCAGCATGCAGACCAATGACATATTCACCAGGTGGAGTGGCAATATCGATATGATGAGAGACTATGGAATGTTCATTTATCGAAAGGGGCTAAGACTGAAGCAAATTGAGAACCTACCATATCACTACATTAAAAATGTTCGGAACGAGTCCAAGTGCTCCATCTGCCTGAACGACTTCCAGGTGGGCGAATGTGTGCGGACGTTGCTGCTCTGCAGCCATACCTTTCACAAATCCTGTATCGACTTGTGGTTGGTTAGGAGCGCCACTTGCCCCAACTGCAAATCGCCAATCGCGTCACAAGGTGTTTTTGCTAATGTGTAGTAGGAAAGTCAAGTCAAATTGTTAATAGTAACATCCAGCGTGCAGTGCGCACACAATATGTTGTGTTAAAATAGGAACTAAAAAAAAAAAAAAAAAAAAAATAGCCAAATTAGGTAGCTAGCTTGGTTTAGCTAGCCAAAATATATACACATAAAACCTGCACACAAGTTTGGAAATATTATTGCCGGTTCAGGCAAAAAAGTACCTGTTTTTTTTTTTTTTTTTTTTTTTTTTTTTTGCACGTGAGAGCTTTGCAGATATGTTAGTAAAAAACTGCCTACAAAATTGTCCCCCCGACGGAGTGCACATGTAAAAAGCACATCTTGGAGACTTTTCCATTTTATTGCTGAGCACACATGTGACTTCATGGTGTATGGTTAAATGGATTCTACCACCGTCTTCAACATTTTAGTATGCTCTCTTCATCGTTACCTCCCCTTTAATAGTATATTTTTTTTCCTTTTTATTTTTCTTTGTTTATTTTGTTCATTTCTTATAAATTAAGTATTTTCCTTAAAATTTACGAGCAAACACTACTGTGTGGAGAAGTCGAAGCTCTCGTTTTTATGTACCACATTTTTTTCTTCTTTTGAAGCTTGTACAAATGGCATATTCACGTAATTGCGCGTCTAATAAGCTCTTCGCAGAATGGATGGAGTATAGGCCCCGCCTTAGCGCACCGGGGAGAATACGCTGTATCATCCCAGATGATGAACAAACACTTGTGCAGGTCTGCCCTGTCATGCCAACAGCGCACTGCCGCATTGCGTCTTCAAGGGAAAGACGCTGGTCGCCATAAACTCCGACAAGTCCCTCGCCGAAGTTATCCTGTCAGATATGGACGTCCCGGTAATCCAACCCGAATCAACAAACAAATTCCTATACTGTGGGTTGTCCAGCTCATTTAGGAAGCATTTCAAATGCCTTTCGTAATTGTTCGAATAGAAGGGGATAGAGTCAAACCACTTCTTCACCTTGAGGATAACAGGTTGAGCATTGTTCTGTACATGAAATATTTTGGTCAGCTCATTGGACACGATTTGGATTATGTCTTTCTCCTCCATGTATACATCATTCGGGTTGTTTTGTCCCCCCATGTATAGAGTCAACACAACGACATTGTCATCATTGCACCTTTCCTTGAACACATTGCTCGTGAAGAAGCACCCGAGAATGTGATTTGTTTTGTCCGCAGACAAAAACCCGAAGCAGTCTGGAGGTAGGGTTATGTCCTTCTTATGGTAGTACACTGTAACGCTGATGATACTTGAGTATTGCACATTTACAAGATAGGCCTTCATTTCTGAGGGCAAAATTTTGCGCATGATATTTGCGCATGTTTTGGAGTTCACCGAAAGGATCACATTTTTCCCGTATATAGAAGAAGTTTTGCTGGAGTGTTTTTTCCTGACGGTACAAACCCAAGTGTTGTCTTTCTTATGCTTTTCAACAGAATCTACTTCTTCATTCGTCCACACATATTTTGTATTTATATTTTTTTTTAGCTTGTCAATTATTTCGTATACGCCATATTTCAAGGATATTGTTTTTCCTAAAATTTTTTTTTTTTTTTTTTCTTCATATTCCTTTGAGTACTTTTTGGCTAGCGGGGCGTAGAGGAGCAGCAGGACCTGGAGGAAGGTGCTTTTGCACTTTTCGTAGATTCTTTTTGCCAAGTGGAGGAAGACTTCCAGGAGAGGGATTCCCACGAAAGGAGGGTGACCCGTCGTGGAGTCCATCCCTGCGTGGTGCTTGGTTGTGCCTTGATCATTCGCTGGGCTGCTATTCTCGTGTCCTGCACTCGCGTCCCGGTTGACTTCGTCACGGTTAGCTTCGTCACGGTTTACCTCCTCCCCCGTTGTGCTTCCGGTAATGGTGCTCCCTCTGGTCATGTCCCGTTTGTGGAACACGTTGTTGAACCAGGAGTACGGTTTGAACTTGCGATTCATTTTTTTCGCATACGAGTGTTGGAGTCCCCCGGAGGATACGCTCTTCTCATTGTTTGTCGTCTGCTCTCCCTTTGCGGGGGAACCAGCACAGCCAACATCACCCCTTCTACACACACCACTGTCCATACGCTCGCGCCACATACGCAATTTGTTTATTTTATTATCAAACAGTTTGAGGTTGCGCGAAAAAAAGGAGACAGCCGAAATGCTACCGACCCCCCCACACGATCCATAAATGAGAGGTAGCAACAAAAAGTTGAAGTGCTCCATATCGAAATTTTCCCTCATGTACTCCTCAACACTAATGTCCTCATCGTACGCTCTCACTTTTTTGTATCGCTTGAACAGGAGTTTGTATATTAGCTTCATTTTATTGAATACACTTATAAGGGGAAAAGCAAAGTAACCCCATATGCTCAGACGCAGTGGGTGTAGGTGTCCACCTGAGTATACATATCGTATAAGATTTTTATTCAAGACTCTTATGTGTAACAAGAGATTTAATTCTTCAAGCAGATGGTAACTTTCGTCGGACATTTTAAAAAGGTTTGGACCCAATTCACACAGAAATTTCTTCCCTTGGTCTTCTAGCCATTCTGTTTTTATGTACCCTCCGAGTGTTTCCTCCTTTTCGAGAATCAAAATTGTCATGTCCGGTTTTTTTTGCTTTAAAAAATAGTGCAGGCAACAACTGAAGAGTCCTCCGCCTATGATGATGACATCGTACGTGTGTTGCTCGTCTGGTCTGATGGGGGCGTTGTCTCCGCTTGGTGCTGTCGCCTCATGTGGCGCGTTTGCCTCATATGGCACGCTTGCCTCATATGGCACGCTTGCCTCTGCCTCCCCTTCCTGCGCACTCATCTCCCTCTGCTCGATATTGTACCCAGGCGGAGCTAAAAAAGCAAGGGCCACACTTTTCCAGGGGGACAGAAAAGCCGGGCATACTTTAGCGGGTAAAAGGGATAGAGCAAATGGAATACATAATTATGGAGAGCAGGAAACAAAAAAAAAAAAAATGAAGGAAGGGGGATATATGAGAGTGGGTCTGGCGAACAAACCCAACTAAGAATGATAATTTAACCGGTGGTGGAACTTTTTTTTAAAAGGGGGTACAACGAGGCAGTCCCCCCACCCCCTCTCTCTTTTCCCCCACAGGAAACGATTGGTACACGTGTGTCAGGGAGAATAAAAACACAGAGTGGAAGCTGCTCTCCGATTGTGCTTGTTCACATGGATCGAACGCGTTTGAGGGGGGGATAATTGCCCAGTTGGCGCAAATGACAAATAGGTTACCATGTTATGTCATCACGCAAAGGGGGGGAAAAATTTAAAAAAAAAAAAAAAAGAGCAGTAAAAAGGTGTGTTGTATATTAGGGTTGGAGATACGCACTATTTTTATTTTCTCGTACAAGCGCACGGAAATGAGGTAGCAAGCCAAACAAAAAAAAAAAAAAAAAAAAAAAGGATGATCAACAGCCGGCGGAATAATCAGGTTGGCACAAGACGGTGTGAACACGGCAGCTGACTTGTCAACCAACTTTCTTCAAAAGAATGGCCCAATTATTAGTGTCAAAAAAAAAATCTTCGATGCGGACCCCACTGATGCTTAAGCACAAGTCGTGTAGCTCTTCCTTCCTAAACACGTGGTAGTACCTCTGTAGCTTTTGCAGATCTGGAGGGTGGGGCAAGAGAAATGTATGTTGCCCAAACAAATGCACCATAAAAAAAATGTACATGCACACACAAAAGCGTATTCGCTTGTATGGTTGCAAAACGTTTTACCCTTTTTGGCTGGGTGGAGGACTTCTCGCTCGGCCGCCTCCCCTTCTTTCACGTCTTCACTGCCTTCAAGGGTGTGCTGCGGCTGAAGGTACCAGGGAACGAAAACTGCCCAGGGGGGGGGGAGATGGGAAGAAGGTGCAGACCGATGAAGGTGCATAGCGTATCATGAGAGTACGCTTGCGCACAAGGGAGTCCCCTTATGGGCCCTTCTCCATGGGGCACACATTGGTACGCGGGCGAGCCGCCGGGCTTACTGTCCTGAGAATCGAACTTGCGGTTGCCAACCACATTCTCCTGCTGTTCATAGGCCCTGCGGTGGAGGGAAGCGGCGTGCATGTGGAGCGACACACGTATGAAGCGAAGCGGAGAAGTCACACATACACCCCCTCAGCTGCCCCCACTTACCAGACGTATATCAGGATCCTCCCTCCAACTTTGGTACATCGCACCATCTCAGCCACTGCCTGCCGCCTGTAAAAAAAAAAAAAAAAAAAAAAAAATGGAACAAGATATTATGAGCACGATCGATAGGTGTTATTCAGGAGGGAGTCACGTGAGCTCCTTATCCTTCGCTGCGCAACTAACCGTTTTTCGTGCGTGCCAATGTGATGAATAACCGCGATGGATATGCACAGGTCTGCTACGTCTGCGGGAGAGGGTACGGGATGAGAAGTGGCGGTAACGCTCAGCGGAACTAATAAGCGGAACTGCTAATAGGAGAAACGCGTTGCTGCGCCACTACAAACATCACTCCTGATGTAGTCGCAACCGTGCGCCGTGCCATACTCGATCGTAGAGGTATGCTGACGCAGTTTGCAAGGAACAAATCTGAATTCCATTTCTTCTGGGCAAACTTCAAAAGGTACCAACTGAAATCTAAGCCAATGAAGAAATACTTGGAGGAGACCTGTACGTTCTTGCCATTGCCACACCCAACGTCAACGATGAGGTTTCCCTCCTGCTCCTCGTTGATGATATTCTCCACGTTGTTCCACGACTTGTACCTGTAAGAGGTAACCGTTATTTGTGTCTGCAACGAGGTAGCGGAGGTGGCGTGTGCAGAGAAGCCTATTTTGGGTAGACGATCTCGACCCCTTTTAAAGGTCCATACCTCGTGTAGCAAAAGTGTTGAGCTATTCTGTTATACACATCGAGGACGTATGTCTTTTCAATTGTATCTGAGTTGTATTGTGCAATGTCCACTGAGACGCAACTTTTTTCCTGAGGTTCGTCCTTAACCCTTTCGTTCCTATGCTTTTGCGTTAACATTTTCTTTACGCTGGGCTCGTCAATGAAGCGGAAGATGATCAGGTAGCTGTCCTGTCGCCGTACGGTCTGCAAAGGGGGGGGTGCACATTACGCACGGGTGGTGAAGATATTTTGAGGGGCGTCTCTACCGGGTGTTCTTCACTTAGGTTGAAAAAAAAGAAAGATGAATGTCTTTAACGAGCAGCCATACCTCCCCCTCCAGCTGCAGCGTTTTCTTCTTCGGAATTCCAAAAATTAATTCGTATCTCCTTCTGCCCTTAATTTTAATGAGGGTGTTTTTCGCAACCATTAGGTTCGTTTTCGTCTCTGCGTCGGGGAGGGAAGTGGGTACATGTATAACCACGACTACAACGTGTGGACGTGTGACCACCGCGACGGTGTGTGTGTATCAAGTGATACGACAGACGACCATCATCATCATTATTACCATTTCGAATGTCGAGGAAGGACATGGGTAGATCATTCTTCATAACTAGGAAGGCAATTTCATCCTGGAGACGGGCGTAGAGGTGGCGTCAGAGGGAGAGAAAAAGTAATAACGTTGTGGAGCATTAATTTATAAAAAAGCGCAATAGGGTTGTCATGCTGGCGACACGAACCAGTCAGCATTAGTCCATCAGTGGACCTCCCTGCATGACGTCGCTCCGTTATAAGTGCACCCTGTTAACTCACCTGAAAAATATGCCTCGACTCGATGACATACTCGACGGCCTTATTCACATGACACTTGAGGATGGAGATCTGGTTCGGTTGGCGACCTTCCAGAAGAACCCCTATGCGCTCCAGGCACTCCGAAGAGAAGAACAGGTGCGCGTCCGGGATGCAGTAGGACTTGTAAATTTTGTTCGGCGTGCTCCGGCAGAAGTAGTGGCACACGTTGATCTCTGCGGGTGCAGGGGTGGGTGCAGTCGTGATGGCGAAGTGTTTACGAGGCGGTTGTAGTGCAGTTTTGCAGTGCACATTTGCAAAGCAGCTTGACGCGCGCGCCTTCGCGGGGCCGCATAAGCCTACCGTCGTTTTTGGTATACTTCAGCCACTGCTCTTCCTCGTACGCCCGAATGACCTGCCGAGAAAAGTCTTCCCCGACTGCGTCCGCTTGGATGGAAACGTCGCCCCCACCGTTAGCCGCATTCAGTTCGCTCTCGTTTGGGGCTTCCCCTTTAGCTTCCTTGCCAGGGAGACCTCTCACCAGGACAGAGACATCCCGCGAGTAGACGGTGGGGGAATCCTCCTTTATGTCGTATCGAACATTTACATACTCCGCCTGGATGTCTGTTTTACGCTCCAGCTGTCCCTTGGGAGGATTCTGCAGGGGGTGAAGAAGCAGCACGCGTTTGACTGGCCTACTGCCTGGAACGCTCGTTCGGCGCGCTAGTTCGCCACGCTGCGCTCCGCCTTACGTGGTTCAAAAGGTTAAAGACATAGGAGCAGTCCTTCTTCTTGTAAAACTCCACATACACGACATTCTGCTGGAGTATCAGGTAGACCATAAAGGTCAAGTCCAGCTCCTGAAAGAAACGCCTGATGTCCTCCTCCTCCCAGGTCAGCAACCCTATCCCCTTCAACCTCAGCGTGTTGGTGACTTTGTGCGTTCGGTTGTAGTACCTGCGGGGGGGTAGGAAGCGGTCAAGTGTAGCAGCTACATATTGCTGCTAAAATTATGTACGTGGGGGAGAAAACCTGTACACACACACACGGGACAGACTTATCGCACAACGGAATAAACCAAACAGACGGGGGCAAGTGTCTTTTTCCCCCTTCGCATTCCTTACTTAACAGGGTACGAATCGAGGGACAACTTCACAAAATTCATCTTAGGATGTGAGTTAGTTTTTATCACAGGAGGGGGGAGGGTGCCATGGGGAAAAATCACAGGCCAGAATTTCGTCTCCACATTTTTGCCACGGTGAAAACAAATACTCCGTGCGTGTTCCACCCATAAAAAAAAAAAATTAGCACTTTATAATTTGCAGCAGTTTATATCCTATACAAATACTTCTTCACAAAAAAAAAAAAAAAAAAACATTTTAATCATCCTTTGTTTTTACAAACGATTAAAAATTTAACAACACGTGAGGAACATACAACTGGCGAAATGTATCACGTGAACAGAATGCAGAACACATTTGTGAAAAAAAAAAAAAAAAAAAAAAAAAAAAAATAGCTACCCACAGTACCGAGATGGGCATTATAGGGTAGCATGAGCATGAGGGTGAGGCGGACCAAACGGAACGGAAAATCAGAATGGAGGGGGAAGAATTATGGAGAGTCCAGTGATACCCCCCGCCCCAGGGGAAAAACAAAATGGTGCAGCGGTCAATTGGCCCAGCGACATATGTGTAGGACGCAACGTGTTTGGTGGCTCCCCGCTCATTATCTGGGGGGGATGGTGTGGTGCCATTAAAAAGTGTGAAGGAGTGACTACCGATGGGTCAGGCAAGCGAATGTATACGTACATTTTTATATGCGCTCACTTGCGTACCCGTGGGGACGATGTGTAGTTATAGCTTGTCGCGGGAGAAAGTGCCTCGATCAGCCAGCAATAGGTGGGTCCTCCTAAGTGAGGCACTCTCCACTGCTTTACCTCTCACGCGTGGTGGGCAAACGTCTGGTAAAATAATCCGTCTCCTTTGGGGCCCCCAACGGGCAGCAGCCACAGAAGCAGGTTGTCTCCCTGCAGTGCACACAAAAAGGGGGGAGTGTCACCACACGCTACTTCCTTCACGCTACTTCCTTCACGTTGCTTCGTTCACGTTGCTGCGGACGGTCCTCGTGCATGGAGTAACTTCATCGGAGGGAGGTCTCGCCGCTTCCATTTTTTTTGGTCAACTCACCAGAACTTGGTTGAAATTCTCCTCCACGCCCAAGTCGTACATGCTCTTCTTGTCTCTCTTCCCAATCTGAAAGGGTGACGAAGCAGAGCAGTTCCATGTGAATACATAATCACATCTGCACAAACTGAGACATGCTCATTTGGCTAAGAGTGAAGAGGGCCTCCTCCTCCTCCCATCATATGAATAATGCATGAGAAGAGGAGAGGAAGTAAATTTCTCACCACACAAAACTCCAGGGTCGTATAATTGTGGGCAGTCAAATACAGATGGAACAGGAAGAAGGGGAAGATAATTCTGGCAACGCGGGTGGGGGAAAAAAAAAAAAAAGAACAGTTAACATGATGGTGAAGTGCATTCCGTAGGGGAAAGACTCCCGCCCATGTGAATGCAGGGTATGTGCATGAAGGGCATGCGTCTGCTCAGCTTATCCCAAGTGGATGCAACCCGCAAGGTGTGACTTTTTTTTTTCTGTTCCAGTTCTCTCCCCGTGGGGCCCCCCACAAATGAGAAAGCATTACAGGAGGATGACGGCGGCAAGGACGATCTCCAAAAAAATATAAAAAACTTCGTTGAAGAGGACGTTCGGGTTTGCATACAAGTCGGGGAAGGACGAGTGGCAGTTCACCTCCACATATAAGCAGCACAGATTAGCATAGAAGAGGCTTAACAGAAAAAATTTGTAGTTGTGGTGACCCACGCCATTTGCAACCTGCAAGGGGGGGAGTGAAGGGAAAAAAAGACACGCAAGAAAATCTGTGCATAATTTAGCAGAGCTTACAAATACTCTACCTCCCCATGTGGCTATTTTATATATATATATATATATTTTTTTTTTCCTTTTTTGTGGAGGCACACACAGAGTGCTGCCTGCTGATGCAAACTCAACATTGCACAATGCCGGTTCTGTTCATCGGGGTGCATTTTTAGCAGATTAAATTTCCCACCCAGGGACAGTAGTGGTCCATTTTAAGAATATTCTTTTTGGTGGCCCTGCGGTGGGTGGTGAGGAGGGGGGGAAAACACAGAAGTGTGCATATAAGTGGTCACAAAATTCACCTTTGCATGGTTCCACCACCACCCACGCTTCGTGTATCATCCCACCTGCAGTAGTGGGCGCGATCCGGCTTGTACTTCTTCTCGTGGGTGCAGTACCGGAGCTCGCCTAAAGGGGACATACAAACAAAATGGGGGGGGTAGTTATTCATACATAATGGTACACACATTGGTGAAGCAGCGGAGCTTTTGTAGAAAACCACACGATGACTTCACAGGGTGTTCATCAACCCCCCTGTGCTTCCTGTTTTACCATTCGGTCCTCTCTCCTTTATTCTGCTCACGTCCGGCTCGACGGTCCACTCATGAGTATCTTTTTAAACAATAAAAAAAAAAAAGGGCGTGGGGGGCAAAGCAATTCCATATGGTTGGGCTATGCTATATATATATATATATACACATATATATATGGCTTTGGTACCACCATTGAGAGTGAACCTCATTCATGTGTAGCAGGACTCCATTCACATGTTTATTCAACGTTATTATAATTGAAGCATGTGGGCAGTCGTCCTTGTCGCCCCACCAGCAAGGTACTAACCGGGGATGCTACCAGGGTCCACCGTGTACGTTTTGTAAAAGGACCAGATGAAGAGGAACAGAAACACGTGGACTGGAAGAGAAACAAAGGAGTACAAATAATTGGTGTAGTGCTTATAGGGGAGTGTGTGCAGGGGGGTGGAGAGAGAGACACTGCGATGAGTTAATGAAGCATATTTAAATATGGGCATACAAAGGGCTTATCATTTCACCCATAGTGGGTGCGCGTCTACCCCTTACACGTTAGCAGCTTGGTGTAACCCTCATTCAACAGGTCGCTGTCCACGTACTGCTTCTGCACGTTTATTTGGAGCAAAACCATGCAGTAGAACTGCGGGGGGGGGAAGGGGCAGCGGAGTGCTTCTCACATGTAGGTAGGTTAGCACATGTAGCCAGGTTAGTGCGCGAGAGGAGCTCCTGTTCTTATGGGCCTTCCGCTACAAACTCATGGTTTCCCCCCCACGCCGTGCTTACCGTGACAAATATGGAGTACATGACGAGGGTTACCAGGCCTATCAGCTGAATGGATCACATGAGGAAGTGAAATGTGCACACACCTCTCCATGGGGGAAGGAGACAGGCGAATGTGCGTCTTGGCGTCACTGACCAGACGAATAGCGCAGATGAGAAAAATGTGTTCATACCATTACGGGCAGCAGCTGCCTTATTTCCTTGGGGGGCTTCTCCACCTCTTTCATTTTGAAAATATTTTTATTATTATTTTTTTTTTTTTATTGGGAGTGCGCGGATGTGTACATCAACACGCAGGTTAATACAAAGTTGTATGCACAGTTGTTGTACGGTGTTAAATTAAAACGGACGAGTGACAAAACAATGGTGGGGAGGTTGGAAGAGGAACAAGGAAAAAAAAAAAAAAAAAAAAAAAAAAAAGGGATTCCCTCGTCACATTCTCCGTTCCACGATGTTTTTACAAAATCGGGTGGACACAACTTGACCTAGACAAGAGTTCACGTTACGTAGCTGATGCACAGATTATATACGTGCGCAAAATGTAACATCCAGCAATGCCCCTTCACACAGGAACGAAACCCAAATGGCACACAAAGGGGGTTAAACGATAGGCACACGAATAATGGGATACCTCCCCCTTCCATGTATTTACACTGTAGAGACGGCGCCTACAAATATGTGTGCATAATTTTTTTTTTTTTTTTTTTTCACATATATGAGAGGGTGCGTAACAAGTGATCTATTAGTGCTTATGTCTGACGTGGCTACAAGTTTTTAAACGAGCCATGGTATGTTTTTTCCGGTGAGCATATATTTTAAGTGACCCAGTTGAATGTGAAGCGGATTCTCCATGGAGTGTTACACTGTGCGCGTTTTAATTCATGGGATGGGGAAAAAAAAAAAAAAAAAAAAAGGACAATCTTTTTTGGCTTAACCTATGTCATGCCTAATTGTGGGGGAGCTGCTTAAATTGGGTCCATCTGAACATTCACGCAGTTTACCATTTGGAACAAGTTGGGACAGGGGAACAAAAGGAGCAATATTGACCTGATGAGATATAGCTTCATGTTTTTACGACCTCTCCGCCTCCTTCAATTACATGGGAAGGAACATGCGCGCTGATGGGCGAGCATCCCTTCTGCGTGACCTATGCTTTTTTAAGTCGTGAAAGGGAAAATAAAAACAGGTTCAATTATTTTTATGTGCATTTGCATTGAACATACTGGACGGACGATTTATTTTACGTGAACTTGTTCCTGAAGTGTCCCCAATAGCGAAGCGCGTTTGCAACTCGTTTTTTTTTTTTTTTTTTTCCTTTTTAGCATCTATGTTAAGGTCCCCTTTTATTTGCCAGCGCTCCTTTAACAAATGCGTTTTCCTTTTCCGCGGAGTTACCGCGCCACCATATCACGCACTTCAAGCACTGAGGCGGTCTGGGAAAGGTAAAATAAATAAATGGCTTTCTCTGCGCTGTGGCGCAAAATGGCCCGCCCGTAATACGCATATATTATATGCATACAAAGCGTGCGTAACCGTGGTGATTTCTGTGGCCCTTGACATGTGGACCCACTAACTTCGTACGCGTGCGAAAGGGAATACCCGCCCTCACGATTTCGTAGCATACTAGAGCAGCATACCGTAGGGCGGGGGAGATGATGATATATAGCCATTTCGCTGTAGCACATTTTTTTTTTTTTTTTTAGGGGGCAATGCGAACAACCCATGTGGGGGTTTCCAATGTCGCACTGCGCCCTTTTGCTCCGAGAGAGGAGCAGCCTATAATGGGCAGGATCTGCTCCTAACCCCTACGCATTTTTTCGCATCTTCTCTTTTCACTGCTCCCCTCACAGTTTAAGCCTACGTTGCGGAAAATTCAAAAGAGGGGTACCTGCCTCACCAGCCAGTTAGCTAAATGGAAAAAAAAAAAAAAAAAAAAAAAAAGAGGAAAAACACCCATCTCACATGACGTACAATTCTTCATGTGCATACGTGTGATAATTTACCCGCCTATTACGGAAATAAATGTTGGGTAACAATTCTGTGAGAGATCCCCTGTTCGGTACCGTACATCGCGCACCCTACATTTTATGTGCCCTGCGCAAATGGCCAATTTTATTATGTGACCTTGCGCGGCGATAACGTCGTACCCAGGCAGACACACAAAAAAAAGCAGCAGTTCAGGGGGGGATGATATGTAGCAAAGCATGTAAAAAAAAAAAAAAAGCATATAAAACACATACACTCACATATGTTCATATAATATATTATTACGTGCATAACGCTGATCGCTCACAAATGCGCTTATAGGCATTTGATATTTTTTTATATCCACCAGAAAGGGCAAACTTTTCCCGGTGTTGAGATTCTTTCACTTCCTTCCCCCCGACGACCTGCAAAAAATAAGTTTTGCCCAAGTATTGTATAAATAACTAATTCCCTTTTTTATACGACCTCAAATGAATTTCATTTATGCCCACGAGAAAGCCACAATGTATACCTGTGCTATATGGAATATGTAAAATAATGTAAGTGTATATTATACAGTATCCTTTTTTTAGGCACTCTCTCAGAGCACGCGTAACCATATTTTGTCATGTTTTTTCCATCATTGCAATTTTTGTTGCAAGCTTTCCCCCGAATTCCCACTTTTTACAAAAAAGAAAAAAAAATTACATTTAACAAAATTAAAAAAAAAAAAAATGCTCATGGGATATAAAAAAAAGAATTCGAATAAACCATTTCACATGAACTTTTGCATATGTTTCCTCTTTTCACGTTAACCGGCTAGTGACCCTTTTTTATAAGTAATTCTCAACA